CTGTATAATTATTTTGTATGATTCAAAATGTTATAGTTGCTGTTTTACAAAATTTGGTTATTCAGTTTAATTTTCTTCAAAAATTTACCATACGCAGAGTGATAGCATAGTTGAGTTATAAAATACATCAGATTCGGCATTTTAAATCGCAAATTGCATACTCATTCACCGCCCGATTAATTTCATGTCAAAATTAGCGTCATCATTTAGTTTTTCTTCTAGTCGCTTTTACTGCTACCTTTCACCTTTTCTCGGTGGATTGTTTATTAATACAAGCAATAAATTTTTTCAATTCTTCTCCAGAAAATATTTCTAAAAAAATTTGTTTCAAAGAAATCTTATGCAATGGGTTATAAATAACCACAAACTTGCATCTCATTCAAATTCCTGCAAACTCCTCTTCTTAGTAACAGCAGAAAGTTTAGGTACGATAGAGCTTGAGCAATACCCATCCATCATTAACAGTCTTTGCTAGTGGTAGTTAAAAAGTGCTACTTATTACAAATCTACAGAGCAAACTTCACCATCCACAAAATGTTAACAGCAAAAGCTTCTGAAATAAAGCAGCACGTGTATTAGCCTCTTTTCAATAAAATTGGTTCAAGAAAACATCTTGTAAACAACTTTTTAAACATTTATTGCTGCTTTTTGGCTACTGAAAACCTCCCAAAAATACTAAAAAACAGCAGCTTTTATGGCTTCTTTGTATTAAAACAAAGAACGAAACAGAAAAAATGAAAGTGAAAGAAACAAAGTTAAAAAACGACTGTTTCTGAAAATACAATTATTTTCCCCAAAAATATCTACTATGTGAAAGAGCTAAACCAATAGGAAACCTGATATAGGTATTAAGGCGATAATGGTTGTATCTAATTTCTCTGTAGCTCAGTAAAAACTGTTTGAAATTATATGAAATTCGTAGCTATAAAAAAAGAATAGTTTTGTTCCAACCGGCTTTCCTCATCGTTGCTCAATGAGTGCCACTGTAATGTCACTACAAAGTGGTCGTTGCAGTGGTTTGCAGTGCAGTGGTGAATTTACGTGTATTGCTTAGTCTAACAAAAATTACCATACAGGGGTTATAGTTTCGTTTCACGCAATTTTTTCACGCTTAATGGTTAAACAATAAAACAGTAATGACACAAATGTATAATTCATTATTTATATATTTATATATTTATATTTATGTATTTATATATATCTGTAAGAAAAAAGCAAGGCAACGGATATGATATAATATTAACTTAATATTCCAAGAAAATTAACTTTTATTCGACTGAATACCTATGAATGTACGAAAATTTTTGAACATTATCATCAAGCATTAAAAAAAGCTTTTTGCTCTTTAAAAAGTCATTTAACAGACAGTTGTCAGGAATAATAACTGCTTAAAAATCTATGCTTTGTTGATTTTTTACTTTTGAAAAAAATTTACTGTTATAGCGTTATCTTCATCACCAATAAACTAAACAGTAAAAATATGAAAGACAAAAATAATGTTGAAATAGTAAGGTAAGAAAAAACAGATTGACAAAACAGCTGTTTTCCATCCGTCAAGACCGATTGGATGATTGGGGTCAGATTATTGTCGAATTTCTGTTGTGTATATATACACGGTCTATCTATTCATCGAAATGTGTTCTGCCCTCTAGCTGCTTTGTTGAGGCTTAGCTTGGTGCTGGAGCTTTTATCATCGCCAAGCAGCACATTCATCCACACATTTTGAAGGCTGAACACAGGCACAGACACTCACAGACACACCAACTCGCGCAAACACACAATCACATACTCACACAGAGGAACAGTTTTGTTCAAAAACTTGCTGTAATCTTTCTTTAACATTCTGGGCTTTTTAATGTGAAACCTGCTCGGATAGAACACAAAAATTCCGCGAACACTTTCTTTCCAACATCTTTTCTGCAACGGCTTTTCCGCCTTTTTGTTTAACAATTTCTTTGGCTTTAGTCTTTTCAAACTGCAGTTTACTTAAATGCTTTGTTGTTGCTCAAACAAAAAACTTCATTTCTACTAGAATTTAATGTTTTTTTTCCTAATTACTTTTCTTTTTTTTTCTTCTGTATTTTTGTATAAGTTGTTGAAGGTGTTTTATGACTTATTCAGGTAATTTTTAAGAAGAGATTTTTGAAGAAATTACTGTGACTTATCCATTTCGTTTACATTTTTGATATGTACTCTACTTTGTATACTGCAAGAAAAAAAAAATGAAAAAAGAAAACAAGAGAACAGAAAAAATAAGAATGAGGGAAACAGAAAATAGAAGTTTTATTTTGATTGCCGAAGCTTGTAATTTCTTTACGACCTTTAATCGCCAAGATAAAAGAGTTTTTTTCAGACACTCGTTTTGCTATTGTTATTTCTCTCCAAAAACATCTGTTTTTTTTTGGGCTACAGTGAAATTAGAGACTTTTTTTTTGACAGGGCACGGAACTTTGTTTCGGATACTCAATTACATTTTATCATCAAATATAAATTTTTTTTTGGGTTAGAAGAGGAGATGGGAAGTGAGGAGGAAGTGATTATAACACCACTTTGAGACAACAGTTTGGTTTTTTTTATTTTTGTAATCGGCTACAGAAGAGGTTCCTTGTATGTAAACATTGATGAGACTTGTTGACTGGTTAGCTGACTAACCAAATGACAAATATTCTTTTGACCCGTTGATTATGCGGCTTTTGCTCATTTTGTTTAAGAAACGGTGGGATGGTAGATAGTTTTGGGACATTTGAGACAACAGAAAACTCTGCCGTGTCACTTACAACTTTTTATTCATATGATTTCAAAAGAAAGTAACTTGAGGAGAAAAGAATAGAAAATAAAATTTTACAACAAAGAACAAAAAAAGGAATAAGAACGGAACAAATTATGTCAAAAAGTCTTTCCAATAAACAAACGTCTTCACCCGAAATGACTGCAGATAAAAAAAAAAAAGTTTAAATTATTTTTTT